TTAGCGTAGCCTCGCTCAGGTCGGACACACAGCAGAAGTCAGCAAACCAGAATACGGCACCCAAGGCGGAAGAGATTCTGCTCGCCCACAGCGATTAAACCACAGAAGAAGGAGCCGTATTTACAGTGTTCTTCGAGTAAGCAGTACGCAACGGGCATTACTAAACACATAACACCAAACAGTTTTACCAGAGATGTATCTATGAGGACTTGGTTGTACTTTTGATGTCATAGCGGATAACAAAGGAGCAACATCTAAAATTATCTGTGACTGTGACCATGAACACAAATATACAGCAGGCAGTTGTCCTCAGTTTATAAGAAATTCAGAGCTACACCAGAACATTTATGAACAGGTCTTACTTTACTACTAACTTGTGTGTAACGCTAGCATGTTAGTATGTTTCCACTAATTACTTGGACTGATCTAACGTTAGTAGCATTAGCTTTGCAAGTGAAGGCTGCAGGTAACAGCTTTGCTGTGTTAGGATTATGTTATGTCTTCACTATGTATCTAAACATAAAAGAATACTCCAAAAATTTGGGAGTTATGCCCTTTCTCTATCATTTTCATATTGAGACAACATGATCGATATCTTTTTTGTGTCTGTACGTCCAGTGGCTGGGTCTCAGAGGTTAGCATTGCGCTTATAGGGGGTCAGTACGTCCTGCGCTGTGATCCGCGGAGGGATACACCAGTGAGCAGGCACAGACATAGCTTGTAAACAAAACTCAGCTGTTTATTTAGCCTAGCAATATTTCTGGATTTTAGTAGCTGCAATGGACGACTTTGAACGCGATTTTGAGAGTTTCTTGTAGCAGCGGACACAGATCCAGAGCCATACCTGTTTGAGCCGGAGTACACAGATGAGGAACTCCATGTGTTGCATGTTGAGCAGGCGAGAAGAGAGGCTGAATCCTCCGCTCCCATTTTGCTGCACAGAATGGGACTCGGTGCTACCATCGTTAGGGAGATATATCATCAGGAGGAAAAGCGCCGCAGAGACTGCATCACAAGGAATGAAAACTTTGCAGCAATCACTAATCCTGGCGTGATTGAAACTTTTTTTCATGTTCCTAAGATGAACTGGAAAAAACACCCAGGCCTGCAGGAGCTGATGGACAGCTTTCAGTCGGGTGAGTAATATCGTCCGCGTCGTCTCTTTGTTTGCTTTTACCGAGTGACCTAGCGTACCTGTCCCAGAGCCAGCTGCAGCAGTTGCTCACCGGCGTATCCCTCCACGCAAGATGTACTGCCCCCCTATAAGTGCCATGCTAAGCGCTGTCTCAATATGAAAATGATAGAGAAAGGGCATAACTCTCAAATCGTCGGAGTATTCTTTTCACATAATAATGCGGACTCAGCAGATGACTTGTTAACTGTTTATTCCTCCTTACACCGAACGTACACGGCTGCTTCTCATTGTTTCCAGTAGCACAACAACGGTTACTACATTACCCAGAATAACTTGAGGCTCACACTACTACGGTAGCCTTAGTAGCTCAAAATACCCAACAGATTAGATCAGAACAGAAACACGACAGGAGAATTTACTGAGTAATTTTGCTGCTTCCACTAATTACTTGGACTGACCTGACATCAGTTAATCCTCTCGCTCTCCAAAACAAATGCATGCGGTAATTGCCGGCTGCAGTCGGAATTTTACGACACCAGGCTGTGGGTGTCATACCGCTCCGACCAAAGGGGCGCTATAATCAACGAAAACGAAAAGTTCCGCACAGCTGCTTTAAAATAAGATTAAATAAATCAATATGGGAAACACTAGGTTACTGTATGAAGTGTGTATATGCTGCATTTCTTGCAATCTTTCATACCTGGGATTGAACAAACCCCTTCAACGGGCAGAAGAAAAGGTTTTTCAAGATGTCTTTCTGGGACAGGAACAAAAGTATCCACAACGTCCAAGAGATTCATCACTGCTTTCACGCCAAGCTCAGGCTCTCTGTTCTGAGATGAGGACAAAAGAAAAAACAAAACAGTCAGCCCACACCCAGATGCCTCCCGTAAGAGGCTCAAAATGTACCACAGTCACAGGATTTTGCTGACTTAACAGCTAATTGATAAAACCACAAAAAAGGAGTTGAAAAAGTTGTAAACTACAAGTGGTTATGATCAGCAGATTTGCACAGTATTATCTAAATTATAGGACAAAAGACTTCCAGTGTTCCCTCACCTCCAGGGCACAGAGGGCTGAGCCAATCACAACAGGTGTGTTCTCGCCATCGTAGCCAAACTCAGTGAGCAACTCGCGGATCTCAATCTCCACCAGCTCCAGCATCTCCTTGTCTTCCACGGCATCGGCCTTGTTGATGAAAACCACCACATGCTCAACACCGATCTGCTTGGCCAACAAGAGGTGCTCTCGTGTCTGAGGCATCTGGCCGTCTGTGCCCGCAACCACCAGGATGCAGCCATCCATCTGAGCTGTGCCTGTGATCATGTTCTGAAAAAAGAAAGAGGATGGTTTAATGAAAATGGGATTTAGTATGTTTTACAGTAATTTCTAGACTAAATTAATGATCTTGAAATGTGTAAGAAAGACAAGAATTTTCATCAGCTAATATAACAACAAAGCTGCATCATTTTCAGCCCTTTCAAGGCCGGGGTATGTAGATGTAAAGCAGATTACCTTGACATAATCAGCATGACCAGGGCAGTCTGTGTGAGCATAATGTCTGTTGGCTGTGGTGTATTCCACATGAGACGCCTGGATGGTGATTCCTCTGGCCTTCTCCTCGGGGGCATTGTCAATTTCCTCATACTTTTTATAATTAGCACCACCAGCATCAGCGAGCACTGAGGACCCAAAAACACAACAGAGTCACATTTCTGATTTCTTGTTTCCCAAATCAAGAAAAATGTAGCTTAGGCTATTAGTTGTAGGTCAGTGGTACAAATTCAGTTTTCAGGTTAAACAGAGAATTCAGCATGTTGGATTTATGTTCATTTGGGCCGCTTAACAGCTAAAACGTTAGGGATTTTACCTTTCGTGATGGCTGCAGTCAGGGTTGTCTTTCCATGATCAACATGGCCAATTGTTCCAATGTTCACATGGGGCTTGTCTCTGGTGTAGGTCTTCTTAGCCTCTGCAGCAAAGGTCCGCCTACTCAGAGGCACAGCACACTACGAGACAAAGCCAAACCCAGGAGTTATACACTTACAAAATGCATGTAAAACAAGCGGTGGACTGCAGTTTGTGTTAACACTCACCACTTTAAATGAGCTGTGCAGGAGGCTTGGCGAAGACAGCTGAAGGGCTGAGAAGAGAGAATGGAAATATGAGAATTATATAAAATTAGACGATGGCTCAGTGTTTGACAGGATAATCTAGTGTAGCTCGTCATATAATTCCACCATTATGTGTTCCACTTAAACCTTTTATTCACAATATAAATATTTAGACTTTAGAGTGTGTTAGCTACATGACAGACATTGGCTAAGTGTCTCACACATCTGGTCCAATCAAAATCTAATGTTAACTAAACAACAAGGCAAAGCATCACTGACATTTTTGATGATAGGGATAGGACTGTGTCAGATGTACAGGTTACGTCAGGTAGCTAAAAGCAGCTCTGCAGCAGTTAACATTAAGCTAACAACCATTTGAACCAGACTCCAGTGTCACTCTCTTCAAATTAAGCTGATATCAGTTACCTCAACAGAGGGAATAGGTACTTATAACCCGTCTATAATATAAGCTACTTATAATCATCATTCATCATCAGTTAGTCCTCATCCTCGGCTAACGTTAGCGGCACCGTTAGCTAACACTCACTGGTAACGTGACCTTGCTCTGCTATCGAAGAGACAGCAGCATATTTATTATGTTTCTACTAGCGCGAACATGATATTCTGCTGATCAAATAATGGCGCCAGGCATGAATTGTCACAGATGCATATAAAGTCAGTTACTAAAGACGAATTAAACAATATTACCTGAGAAACAAGCACGCAGTCGCACAAGCGCCGCCATCTTGGATGGATTGGCAAATCAAAGACAACCAAAAATTCAAGAGAGTAACTATCCAGCTCCAAAGCTGTCGGCCAAAGTAGGTTCGTGGTTAAATGGTATCCTTCGAAACGCGAAACACTCGCGAGCCGCTTCTTGTTCGGTGTGACAAAAAAAAACAACAACAACAACAACAATAATAATAATAATAATAATGATAATACACATCAAGTAATCACTCATTGAAGTCCCCTGGTAAACGAGAGTGCCAAAGTGTGGGTTCAGTATATTTAACTAATATTATTAATAATGATAATAATATAATAATCTTTCTTAAACAAGTTTGAAAAAACAAAGTTACAAAGCGCTTTACAGGGTTGAGCCAGAATTAAAACATTTCAGGACTAACTAAGGCAAATAAAATCAGACAAATAAAGTAACTGTCTACAAAAAGTAAACGAAATTTAAAAAAGAAGAAAAGCTGAATTGCGTTCATTTCTCCAAGTCGCTTATCTTATCTGTTACACAGGGGACACAAATGTCTTTATATATTTTTCGTACCTATGCTTTTTAGAAATGTGCTAATGTTCAGTAAGGAAGTGTAAGATCTAAATAGGGTTTTAAGCTATTCATTAATCATGTCTCTTATAGTATTACATGTATGTAAATGAAATCACACACTAATGTAATGTAATATCGATATTTCATGTAACACTGTTCCTGTTTGAGGCCAAAGAAAAATATTTTTCGTTGTTTGGGATTCTCCTCTCTTTTTACTGATACTCTCTGGATGTCGGCGTCCCAACGTAACTAACTTACCTTAAATACGCTAATACGGAGGAGTTTGCTGTTGTGCCTTTTAAATTCTAACGTTTTATCATTGTCCGTTTTATTATATTATCATTTTGAGGGGCTAAATTATCAGAGAAAATGTTAAGGGGTGAAATGGCGTAGAGGTAAGGAAAGACTTCGGTTATTTTTTTTTTTAAATGTAGTTTGCCAATTTAGTTCAAGGTTTACGGTACAGTATGGCAGCCTCCATGCCACTCGTGAGATCAGCTAGCTAGAATGTTCTAGCGGATTCATGTTCTTGAGTTTAAAAGGGAGTTAACTTGTCTCAAGACGTTATTGTGTTCATTTACTCAACGGTGATTTTAAGGACTCTTAAAAAGGTAAGTGGAATTATCTATGAATGAAACCATGTCGCCGGTTGTGGTAAACTAAAGGGTTATGCAGGTCTACTGTACTTAATAGCACGAATCTTGTGATGTATACTAATGAGCTGTTTGATCCTGAGTTTGGAATATTATGTTAGCAGGCCCTGTCTACTGCACGTCATTTATGAATCCAGTTATCGTTGTCTTGCTGATGTTTCTTTCTTTCTTATTTTTTTTTTTTACCTCAATAGTGAATGTCATGGCAGAAGACAGACAACCCAGGAGATATCCTCGGAACCTTCAGGGTGTCATGCAGCTGGCAGTGGATGCTGGATCAGCCGCAGAGGGACCTGCTCCCGTTGAACCCATGTCAGAGGAGGTAAAGGCCTGATAGTTATAGGCTACATTTAAAACCTGAGAAGTCTTTGGACAGAGCCTTCTACACCCACACATTTTGTTGGGTCCAGACCAGAGTTATTATTATTTTGTATTTTTCATTTTTCATTCATTGCTTTTCATTATTTTATTTTTATTTCATATTTTTTTTCTTGTCAGATTAGTTTGGTTTTAGTTTTAGAGTGGGTTTGTTATTTGGACCCATGAAGCTCTCTACCTTGTATCAAATGTAACTGAGATACATTCTTGTATTATTTCTTTGTCACAGAGGAAAACATGGTTGAGAGACGCTCTTGCAGAAGTCTGCAAAGGGCAGATGGATGAAGTGGAGCAGATGAAGCAGTGCTTGGCCGTCTTACAGCAAGAGGGATCGAGTGAAAGGGAGACAGAAGGAGAGGATGAGAGGGATGAAGAGGATGAAGATGAGCGTGAATCAGCCTTTGAGATGCTCTCAGAGTTGTGTGAGAACCTGGACAATGCTAGAGGTTTGTAATAAATGGTATTAGAATTGACATTTCCCAGCAGTCTGTAGATCAGATGTTAGCATGGCTATAAATACTATTGGTTGTCTCTGTCCTGACTGTGTTCCTCTGTGCTTCACAGACTTTATGACTCTCTGTGGACTGGATTTGTGCGTCTCCCAGTATCTGTGTCATGCCCAAAGTGGACTGCGGTGGCGTGCTGCACAGCTTCTTGCTTCCTGTGCCCAGAACATGCCGCAGGTGCAGGCCCACCTGTTAAGCATGGGGACACTGCCAAAGCTGCTGCAGCTGACAGACTCAGACCCCAACCCCACCGTCAGAGTAAAAGCCCTTTACGCAGTGTCATGTAAGTGTCTAAGACAGAACTTGCATAAGGCTCAACCCTGTCTACTTGAAACTGGCTGATAATGATACTGACTGTTAGTTAAAGCAGAAACATTAGTTGGTTTTCTGACGGCATTGAAAGAGAGAGCGTAAAGCTTTTAGACTGGATTGTAATACCATTTGCATTTATGTTGCGTGACGATCAGGATGTAGCACGCCTCTCAACAAAATTGTAACTGCGTCCTGTTGTGACTTTAGGTCTGGTTCGAGAGCAGGAGGCAGGACTTCAGGAGTTCTTGTCCCATGATGGCTTTTCAGTGCTGATGCGAGGCATACAGTCGGACAGCGAGAAGCTCAGGACTAAGTCGGCGTTCCTTCTGCTCAACCTGCTGACGTCACATCCCGAACAAAAAGGTAAGTGTGAGAGACAGGACGGTGATGTTAAAATAAGCTGGGGATTTTTTAAACTTTATTTATTGTCAATAAGCTGGCATACAGCCCATCTTGTGATACTACAAGTTCTCCAATTTGTTGGAGCTATAGTAGCCCTTCAGTGCTGGGTGACGCGCCTGTTCAATGGAAGAAAAGGATTTTTCCTGCTGTGTGACTGCTTTCTATAAAACATAGCGTAATTGTAATGATCCATTATCAAAATAAACAGATGACTTTACTTTGAGTAGCACATAGTATAGCTCATATCCAGGTCCCTTCTTCATAGAAGCAAGAATGCTTTTACATACTGGCTTTTAAACCAGAGGGTGGCGGTCGGATTGTTTTCATCTGCTGCTCATGCTCAGCCATCTTTACCAAAACTCAACAAGTAGCCTAGCTTACAATGCACATGTTTACGTCCATTATATTTCAACTGGTTCAGCCATAAGGAACATGCAGTCTCAGCCTTCTTACAGGTGATCATAATGTCGAGCATTGGATTTTAAATTTCAGATTATTGACTTTTTTGCATTGAGACATAATCCTCTGTGATGCATCTAAGAATCTGTTTTTCCCCCTTCCCCTATATGTTACTGTGTTTGTTTGCGTCAGTAGTATAAAACAACTAAATATGAATTTAAATGAGCAAAGAAAATGTTTTTATTCTTGCATATATGATTCTGAGGCATGTTTTAATCATTATAAGGCTTTCCTGGTTAAAGAAGATTAAGAAATCCAAACTACTAATGTAATAGACCACACTGACTTGAGCCACAACCAATCTTTTTAGTAAGTCAATAGATCGAATGCTAAACTAGGGCATTCTGGAACCGTCCCTCACTTTGTCCACTTTGTGCTCTGATCAGCGACACTACACAAATGCTGTCGACCCAGTTATAGCAAGCAATAATGTGGCTAACACTAGTTATGTTTTGCACCTCTGAGCAAATTGAGCCTCCTTACAATGAGCTCTGATCATTTCATGATCTATTCAAAACAACACATATTGTTGCTCTAATCTCATATTACAATGAATGCAAAGTTGACGTCACTTGTTGTTAAATGTTTAGAACGGGAGTGCCATCCTGATAATTACGTCTTTAATCATGGGTCTGATATATTTATGTTTATGTTTATACCTGTATCTATAACTGTTTTTATCTATCTCCTTCCTGCAGACACAGTTGTCTCCATGGGTATGGTAGAGCAGCTGGTATCTGTTCTTCGCACACCACACTCACCTTTTCATGAACATGTGCTTGGAGCCCTTTGCTGGTAAGAAACACACTGCTCTCGCCATCACTCACAAGTGACTTTAATTTGTGGTTCACATTAGTAATTATAGTCTTTTATGTGTCTGATGTCTGTCTAGTCTGGTGGAGGACTGTCAGCAGGGTCTCAAAGACTGCAGGAATCCTGCTCTGGGTTTGGAGGAATTACTCAGACAGCGATCCAGAGAGCTCCAAGGAAAAGAAGAGAGTCAGGTAATTCCTATGTCTCATTCTGGTGTTGAAATATGGTAAAACTGGGTTCAAGTATTTTGTGAAATCAGGCCTGCAATAGTTTAAGCCTTTTTTATTTTAAAAAGCAAGCAGAGGATGGTTGAGATTGACAGTTGTCTTTTCTTATGTATAAAGCTACTGCTGAATGAGTGCAAAATCTAGTGTTGTGGAAACGCTGTGCACAGACACAAGTCTAAACAAGAAGCAACCAATTTTGACTAAAACATTTTCAAGGGTTAACTAGATGCCAATACGTGGATACTTCTATATAAGTGATTATAATTTCTAGTTCAATGCAGGTATCAGTTCTTACATATCTTTAGGATTAGATTTAATGCTTGCCAAGAAATCATTATTTAAAGTCACATTTTTGTTTCCAACAGGAAGAACTGGACTTCTGTGAGCGTTTGAAGGTTATGTGTTTTCGTGGGCAGCAATCAGATGACAATGGGATGGATCGCTGAAGTCCGGTTTACCTCACCTGTTTTGGTATCAGCGTGCAGAGATGTAACACAACATTCAAGATCTGGATCGTGAATGTTAAAGCAACGTTTTTTGTCTGTCACAACAAATGTAGTCCATATTTTGCATGTCATGCAGGAACTGGATTTTTCTCTGTAAATAACCTAAATGTATAAAATACTTTTCAAGTTAGCTGTTATTTAAGTCCATTGTTTTCAGTTGTCCATATCTTGTAACACCAAACATCTCCAGCACAGGTAGTATGCAAACCCATACCCCGATGTTAATGTAGTTACGTGTTCAACTTCAATCTGCAACCACACCGCTACATGCCACCGTTACACACTATACCTTTAAAACAGGCCTCAGAATAATGGATCATTGTTTATTTTTTTTACACCATAATTATTTATTTATTGATTGATTGATTATTAGCAAAACAAATAGGTGTATTTATATACATAAAATGGGCAGCTCAAGAAATGGAAAACAATGCCATAACCACATGCACAATCTTCACGCAAATATGTATGTTATGCAAATTACAATATTTTGGTACAAATCACAGAATACAGATGTTATTCTTAGCTAATATTTGTGGAGTTTCTTTTTTTAAAATGCTATGACTATTTGATGATTATTCAAATGCAAACCAGAAATGCATAGTAAAATATCTTGACTTTTCAAACTGCTCTTTTACTTCATCTTTTGAACACACATAGTAGCTGTCAAGCACTGACCAGTAGGCAAATGTCTTCATTTTCCTCTTTTACTGTATTTGATGGGTTCATATTTAAAACTCCAAGACCTACAAGAAGTATATATAGGCAAGTTTAAGATTTTACCAGAGTGATGAAGATACTAAAGACACTAGGGATGCCACAGGGATGCAGTTTAGGACCTCTTCCATTTTGCAAAATCGTCCTTGTTCTCTACTGCCTTTACATCGCCCACAGCTATTAGTAGCTGTGCCAAATAATATGTCACCATGACAATAGTGTTACCATGCTCCATTGGTGCTGTCACCTTGAAAATTTGCATAGCCAGTGACATGTCAGACACCATGAAGCTCAAACTTCCTAAAAGTGTCACTGTCTGGCAGGTTCTGATGGCTAATGCCCCCATCAGAGAAATTAAGGCAACGTAGACACCCACAGCTGGAATCAGTATGTCTGAGTTTGGTGTCTTCTGCACGAATGGATATATGTAAATGTAGAAACCTCCGCCAGCCAGGAACAGGATTGGATAGAGAATACGGGTCCAGGAGGAAGAGGAATGTGCTGCGTAGCGACTGGAGAGGAAGGTGAGTGAGTACAGCAGATGAGCCACAGCAAATGCACCCATTCCTGAAACAGATGTTTGAGATGTTAAGGACATAAAATAAGTTAATAAGTTAAAAATGGCAGGTAAATGCATTCATTTGCAACATGCAAACCTTTGCAGCTTGAATTTACAGGGTTAGATTGATCACACTGAAAGACTGCCATTAATATTTTTTTATATAAATATGCAATGCACATTTAATTCAGCTTAATTTGTATTTTGAAAATGTCCTACTTCTTTCCTCACTTGTGCAAACAAGGCTCTTACCATGCAGAAAAAGTTCAGGCCAAACCAGGCAGCAGTCACCAACTGCAGAGAGGAGCAGTCCTCCCATCACACCCAGGACACTCTGACCTCCATTCCAGCTCAGCACTACTGCAGCCAATAGAAGGGTTGGTGCTGATTTGACACCTGCCAGCGTGATGGATGCGGGTGTGTCAGGAGTCCACAGGTAGAAGTACAGACCTGTGGCCAAAAAGAAGGGCAAAAGAGAAAAAAGGAGAGCACAGGACTGATAGAAAGAGAGGGACAGAGAGAAACAGGGAGACAAGTCACACACTATAAATATAAAAAAAAATTATGAGTTGAGACAATTTTATACTTTCCATGTGGAAAAAGTTGTTGTAAGTAACATAAACATCTATTACTGACCAACTGTAATAGGAATAAATTATTTTAGGTACCATGTTTCTTCTCTGCCGCCTGTCATAGGCATCTGTCTCAAGGATGTCCATCGTCTCAGAGTCAGCACCGTCGTGGGCTCCAGCAGATGTCTCAGTTGAAAGAACCTGTCCTGTTACACACCTTCTATTTCGTCTGTCTTTGGTCAACACCACATATAATCCTCAGATGTTCTCGTCTAGATCTACTGTCTCGAATCTCTGCCGTGTCTCTCAGTCCGTTGGCATTTCACAGCAGTGAACTTTGGACGGATCCTTGCTGTCTGATTGCGCTCTGATAATCAGTGTTCTCCGGGGTTTGAGTTCTCATGGACAAACAGCTGACCTTTGACCTCTCCAGCTGGAATATATTGGTGACATCAACACATGAGAGGTCAAAGTTGAACAAGTAGTAAACTCAACTATGATAACACTTGTTTTCTTACTTTGCATGTAAACGTCTGATGATTGCTGGTAATGACAAATTAATTGTGGGAAAATGGCCAGAAAGTCACTTCCTTTGGGGAAATATTTTGAATCATATCTTTAAAGCTTGTCGGTAAAGGCATAGATTTTACCCCTCAATATTTTACATGTACATTTGTCCCAACAGTATAAAAATGAAAGTAACAGAGAAATTTTTCACCACCATATATTGATACAGAAAAGGCACAAACGGGTGCAAACAAAATCACCACAATGCACAAAATTAAGTGTTTGGAGCTTAAACTTTTCCCACTTTTCCCCATGTTGAAAAAAAAATCTTGTAGGTGATGCAAAAATAATCATTCCTCTCTGCAACAACTGTGACAAAAGAGATGAATAGCTAACTACTGTGTGTCAAGGTTGGAAACACCAACAAAGTAACACCATTCATCTTTCAAAATGGCTTAATATGGAAGCAAAAATTATATATTTTTTTTAATGTTTATGATGTGACATATGACACTTTAAGGGTTGTGATCAAAGGATAATCTTTTTTTTTTTTTTTTTAAGGAATTCACATTGCATTGTTTACATTCACGAAATTGTACTTTACTTGAGTATTTTAATCGGTTCCAGCTTCTCAAATATGAGGCTTTTGCTGATTTTCTTTTAACTTATTTTAATTCTTTAGATTTATTGAATTGATTTAAAATGTTCTGCATTGCGTATGTATATTTTTAATACTTATACATTACCCTGATTGTACTTGTCCCTCCACCACTGCAGATTTCTCAACACTTAATACTGTAACAGAAAAAAACCTGATATAAAAGCAGTATGGTTGATAAAACAATTAAACATAAATAATGAAATACATCATGCGTGCAGGACAAATTAAAGAAATGTAAATATGTTCATTGATGTGTAATACATGTAATGTGAGAATAATTTCTTCCTCATCTGTCACACTAAGTTTTGCTCTGTCACACTTAACAAGAGATTCTGAATGCATCTGATACTCTATTTTTTTAATGAATGGAGGAGGAGCCCAGCATATGATACTTGCACACACTAAAGAACTAATAATGATTAACTATGGCCTCTCAGAGTCAAACTTTGTACTGTGCTCGCCCACAATTCCTGCAGTCGTGAGCTGGTTGTTGTGCTTCAAGTTGGGAGACACACAGCTCTGCAGGGCTGTGACATTATCTGGTGAGTAGAGCAATAAATTAATGTTATACTGGTCAAGATAGCAAATAAGGTCAAAAGCCTATGTATGCGTGTGTGTTGGTGTGTTTTGTCAAGTTGCAGGTGAACGTTCAGCACGTTTCCTTTTTCCGCACAGGACATGGCAACCAGCTCTTCCTCCCAAAGGATTGGAGTTGTAGGATATGGACATCTAGGTCTGAACTCTCCCTCTTAAACTCCACACAAATTTTCTGATATATTATGCTTAGAATTGTGCATATACTGTAATCTTTTATTGTGTGTGTGTGTGTGTGTGTGTGTGTGTGAGCGCGCGTGCGCTTCAGGGCAGTACCTGGTGGAGAGGATCCTTAAAGATGGAGCTGCTCTCGGTTTAACTCTGGCTTTCGTTTGGAACAGAAATTCTGACAAGCTCAAAGGTGTAGTCCCTGATGAACTCATACTTGGTGACCTATCATCCTTTTCAGAAAGGTAACATAAACCCATATAACAGTATTAGTATCTATTGTGATCTCTGTGCTACTATATGTACTATATAACATGCATCCAATGTTCACAACATCTTTTTCTATGACTGTGTGTTTTACAGGCGGTGTGATGTGATTGTAGAAGTGTGCCATCCAAAGATTGTAAAAGAATTTGGGTGTCACTTCCTGTCTCAATGTCATTTCATGGTAAGATCGTCTTCTGTTTGTTTGGGAGATGTGCTGTTTGCTAAATTAGGATGACCAGATATCCCCATTTTCTGGGGACAGTTGCTGTTTTTGTTGGTCTGTCCCTGGCTGGAGCTTAACCACAGGGCTGCCAACTCTCAATTGACTGTGACAGTCACACAATTGACACTTTACACATGCTGTAACTCCACATGTCCATTTCCCCCGCAGAGAACAGCGAATTTATAACTAGTTAAATTGCATTTAATCAGCATTTATATATATATTATAAATATAGCCTGTATATTTTTATGTCAGTTGGCCTGCACCATCATTCATTACAGTGCACATGGTCAAATAAAACCGGAAATGTTCTCCTTTTGCCGAACTGGAAATGTCCACAGTTTTATCTCCAAAATCTGGTCACCTTATCCTAACTATAAGCAAAGATAACCAAATTATATTCTAAACCAAAATATTCACCACTCTTTATGTAAACAACATAAATTAACATTGTACTTGAGTAACCCGGTCATGATTTCTGGAAAGAGACACTGGTGTTGAGTTAAATGTATTTTTTTTGGCACTTTTGGCTCCACAAGCCGAATGCCATTTAGTTCCATATAGAGAAGGTAGACATCTCTATAGTCGATAATTCCAACACTGATTTTGGGGTGAACTGTCCCTTTAATACATAAGCTGACACAAAGTTTCAGCAGTTTTAAATGTTGATTATAATAATGACATCCTCTTTTGTGCCGTTATTTCTCCTCCTTTCAGGTGGGCTCACCCTCGGCCCTCTCTGATCCTGAGCTGAACCAGAAGCTGCGTCAGGCGGCTCAGCAGTATGGAAGGACACTCTACGTCCCCAGTGGTGCATTATGGGGAGGCCAGGACATTCAAAGGCTGAATGACAGTGGGAACTTGAAGGTAACACTGGTTTGGCAGGTGCTGTGTTAGAGAAAGTGGTACAGGGTTTAGTCTATGAGAATGACTGTGCAGCTGACAAATGTCAACTAAACTATTATTTTATTTTAGTACTCAGTATAGTGTAGAGTCTTGTACTCAGTATGTATAGTAGAGTGTCTTCTGGTACACATTATTGTGTTCTGGTTAAACTCTTTTTTTCTCTCCTGACTTGTTTTTTAGGCTTTGTTTATAAGAATGTCCAAGCACCCGTCCTGCTTCCGGCTGACAGGAGACGTCCTCTCTGACTGGACAGAGGAAGAGGGCAGGCGTGTTTTATTCAGAGGCTCAGTGGCAGAGCTGTGCCCACTTGCTCCGAACAATGTGAACACCATGGCAGCGGCAGCAGTGGCAGCAGGAACACTTGGCTTTACTGGTGTTCAGGGAGAGATTGTTTCCAACACAGCGTAAGTCTTACTAAAAGTCTGACTGACTTCATGCAGCCTGTCATATTTGCTTACCTTTCATACATCTTCCTGTCCTAGGTTAAGTGACTATCACGTGGTGGAGGTTGAGGTGACTGGGCCTGGTGGCTTCTCAGTCAACACAGTGAGGCGTAATCCAGCCAAACTTGGAGCTGTAACTGGCAGTGCAACATATAACTCCTTCTGGAATAGTTTACTAGGTGAGTGCTGCATGGCCGCTTTACTTACGTAAAAGCACAAAAAGAACCTCCATTACAATTAAAAGGCCTACGTTCAAATTCCTGCTTTAGTAAAACTAGTATCAGAAAAGTGTAATAATGCTTTAAGTATCAAAATTAAAAGTAAAAATGCCCCTGTGACCCATATATTTTTTTACATATTACATGATTAGATACTGTTAATGCATCAATTCACAGAAGCCTTTTACTGGTGTACCTGGATGAGGTGGAACGAGTTTTTTATTTTAACTATGATATATCCAGCGTAATTTAGTCCAGGGGTCTCCAACCTGCATGGACAACATGTGACAAATGAGTCAAAATATAAATCTGAGTGGTTAAGAGATGATTGATGAAGTTGGAAAGAACAGTTTGGCTCTAAAGTTTTTTTTTATGGGCTTTTCTTCTATCTTTGATTTTCTGTGAAATAGTGGATGATTTTTTACCTACTTGAGCCTCAAGCTAAATTCATTCATTCATTTTCTGTAACCGCTTATGCTATTTGGGGCTCACGGGGGGCTGGAGCCTATCCCAGCTGACATTGGGCGAGAGGTGGGGCACATCCTGGACAGGTCGCCAGACTATCTCAGGGCTAAGACACAGAGACAGACAACCAGTCATGCTCACATTCACACCTACAGGCAATTTAAAGTAACCAATTAACCTGCATGTCTTTGGATTGTGGGAGGAAGCCGGAGAACCTGGAGAAAACCCACAATGACACAGGGAGAACGTGCAAGCTCTGCACAGAAGGGTTCCCCCACCCCAGGTTCGAACCAGGAGCCCTCTTGCTGTGCATCTAAAGAGTTTGGAGGTGGAATCTTAATTTGTTAAAACTACTAACAACTCAAAGACATCTGAAACGGGGCCTCAGCAAGACACTTTTTTGTAAGGGGTTGACTGGAGAGTCCATATCTAATCTTTCATAAAATACCTGTTTAAGTCAGAATTAGAAAAAAAGATCTTGAGTTGTTGATATGCAAATAAGTAAATTGTCATCAATTCTGTTTTTACCTTTTATATTCTTTTTTTTCGCACAGTTTGCAAAGGTCATGGAGGACGAGTTTACTTGTGCTGAAGCTGATGAGAACTCTGCTGAATTAACAACAACACAGCAAGGAGATCCATATAGATCAGATGGTTTATGGTGGATAAGTTGTGTGGATGGTGTCACTGGATCGGTGTGTTACTGTAAACTTTTTGTGAACTTATGATATTTGTGTTCCAATAAACTGCATGCATACAGAAGAAAGAAGAGCCAGTTATTTGTAAAACACAAATGGGTGTGTGT